TAATAATATATATATATATATATATATATATATATATATCTATTTATCTTGGCCAAATTTTTGCCGCACTTTGGTTGGAGATCAACAGAGCAAAATCTATCTCTAATTTGATAGTTTTGGTTGCTAAGCGATATAAAGTCGGTATAGGGATGGAATCAGAATTTTAAATATACGTTTATTTGAATAGAGTAATTTTTATTGAAACAATATAATTATATTTTACGAAAATATTGTATAAATATTATATTTAAAATTTTGTTATTATTTTTTGAAATTTATATTTTAAATTTATAAAATTAAAATACTAACTCTATCGGCCTCTGATCGACATAAAATATTATCAAGTAACTTATAAACAAATTTATCGTGGGTTCCATTTTGATTAAGAAGTTCGAACATCTCAATATATTTTTATTAGTTTTTGAATGGACATATACATATACATACATATATATATATATATATATATATATATAATAATAAAAAAGTTCAATGTTGATAGTGAGGTATAATTAATTAATAAGTACATATATGAGTGAAACTTTTGGCTAATAGTAAAAATATGTTTAGTAACGTTTTTTTTTAATTTTATTTTATAAGAAATAAATTTTTAATCTAACTCAGAAGGTAAAAATTAGTTGAAATATAATAATGTCAAATTTTTTCTTCCACAATAAAATCGACGATACAAGACTGCACTTCATGACCCTCTTAGTTGAAAAGTTGTCATTTTTGAAATTTACCTTAAAAATAAATTTTGGATCGAATTCAACAGATAAGCTAGTTTTTAAAATAAGAGTTATTCAAGATTATATAAAAAAAATAAACTTTTTTTTCAAAACAAATGTAGAATAACAACAACACCTTACGATTGATAATCTATCGCTAATTCAATTACTAAACAACAAATTATGAATTCTTTTTCTTAAATAAGAATTTTTAGTTTAAAAAAGAAAATGAAAAGTTCTTTCCAAAGGTGTATTACTTTTTTTGAATTCATAATTGCTTTTAACTCATTATTCCAATCAAATCACAATTATTAATTAATTCGTACTTATTAGCAGTACAACTTATTCTAAACTTTATTTAATTTCCTCCAATTAAAGTGGAAATTCCAGCCCACTCCCACACTTAATTAAATAAGTATTTTTTTTTTGTCCAAACATACTCCTAAAACATGTCTGAAATAATTAAATAAATAATAATATATAAAAACTAAATGGTGCAATATTTTTAAAATTCTAAGGATTTATTATTATTTTTTTAAAAAAAGATCAAATGTTCTCTGTCGGCTGATGGATTATTAGCCACATATTTAAAATCATCTCAAAAGTCTTATCTTTACCAAAAATAAAATAAAAAAAAATCTAGCTTATTAGAAAAAGAATAAAAAATAGAAAAAAGCTGTTTTAACATTTGAACTGAAAAATGTATGGAATTAAATGTTCAAGAAAACTTAAAAATTCTGAAATAACTTTTTATTCCTCCCTTCAATTTGTTTATTTCTTTTAAATGTTGGGATTAATTATGAAAAATTCTATGTACATCACTAAATATGTTACGTTATTATCTTTGAAGTTATTATATCAATTTTGTTATTATTATCTGTCCTTAAAAAATATCTAATTACAAATAATAAAGTCTAAGTTTAAATTTATTACTCTCCTTAATGAGGGTTCGATTCCTCTTAGATAATAAAAAATATACATTTAACTTATTGGAAAAGGGATAAAACATATGCAGACTTTATAATTACCGTCTCGTGAAAATAGGAAAAATTTAAACATATATAAATAATAAAGATTTCTTTTAAAAAAAATAAATTAAATTCATAAAATTTAAATTTTAAATTTATTATTGTACTCACATATTCAGGTTACCAAATCAACATAATTGCTCCATGCAAAACGACGACGGAGCCGCTACGTAACGTAACGGAATTCTCTAATTTTCCATTAATTCCGGCCAATACAAGAATTAAGTGAAAAGTAATTAATTATAATATATAAAACTATAATTACCCCTAAATTCTTTTAATTCAAAGGTCAAACAACATAACACCGACCGACACATCAATATCGAGGTAGATAACGTAAAGTTTTTCTAAGAAATAATTTTTCGCCGATTGTTCGGTTCCATAACAGTTTAGTCATTAAAACTTTACAAAAAAAATATGAAAAAATTATTTAAAATAAGGTAAAAAATCAAATAAACTATTCACATGAGTTGCAAGACATGTATCGTGCTCAAAAGTAAATACTGTAAATAACAGAATAACCAAAAATTTGACACTAATTAAAATAAATAAAACCCATCAAAGCTAATAGTAAAAGGCCTTATTTATATTATCAAAAATATAATTACTAAATTTATAATTACGTTATCAATTAATCTATTAAAAAACAACTTTACATTATTAATTAAAAATCAATAATTTCATAATAAGTTATTTGACTCTCGAAAAATAATACGTCGAAAAGCGAAGAAAGACAATATGGGATGGTTGGATGTTTTTGTGTTACCAAAAGAACCAACAAAGCTCATGAGTCGTCGGTGTCCACGTGGCTATATATCTTCCACGTCACTTATATGGGTCCCAGAAAATGACAGCCACGTGGACCGGTTCGTCTACCGTGTCAAACTGCCTACACGACAAGAACGTCCACGTCTGCAATTACTACCACTGGTGACGTGGCAATACTATTAGTATTTAATTGTTCCAACTGCCACCTAGTCCAATCGTACGAAAATATTTAGAACAATAAGAAGAAATCGAATTCGCTGAATGTATAATGTTTCCTTAAGAAAGTTAATCTAAAGTATTGCTAATATAACTAAAAGACTCTAAAATATCCCCCCCCTCCTCCTCTTGATTTGTTCAAATTGCAAGAAATTATATACATCTTGACATAGAATAATATTTTAATTACGTGTAATCTTCGTCTATTTCATCTTTTTTTTTTAAATTTTAACTTATCATAATTTCATATATATAAATCGGTGAATCAAAAGGTCGATACGTAACAATTGACATATATGATGAAACTGTCTCAAACGACTTTCTTTCATTTTGCTACTTATACCTCCTGACAAGTACTAACAAATATGATCATTTTTAATATTATCTAAATTCGACTGATCGAGCACATTCATTATAACATTCATACTATATCAATAAGTTGTGTTTTGATATTTTAGATTTTAGTGGTCCAACATTCACTCTAGCGAAGATCATCATAACATTCATATTATATCAATAAATTGTATTTTTGATATTTTAGATTTTGATGGTCCAACATTCACTTTAGCGATAATTATCATAACATTCATATTATATCAATAAATTGTATTTTAAATATTTTAAATTTTGCGGTCCAACATTCACTCAAGCGAAGATCATTTATTAGCGAAGAAAGAAAGAAGTAAAGGATATATATTTGCAAAAAGATGCAAGTGATCTATAGTCCAATTTATTTTATTTCTTAGGATGTCCACTTGATATGTTCCAATTTATTGTAGGTTATTTTGTACACAAAATAATGTTGAACCTAACTATATACATGCATATATATATATATATATATATAAATGATCTAACTAGTCATGGAAAAGGGCAAAGTATTGAAAGGCCAAAAACAAGTATGTTATACTAATACAAGTAATATAATTTTATTGTTCTTTGATTTTAACTTTTAACTCAATTTGTTAGACTACATAATTGAAAGACGTTACGATACATTCAACATAGTTTTAGTGATTACATGATTCAAAAAAGTTCTTTACTTCTTAAAACTCCATGCTAATTGTCACGATCTAAGGATTAATTAATTAAGCTAGGTTTTTTGCCTAAGATTTCAATTTGACTCATATTTGAAAATTTATTTTCAAATATTTGTTTGATTATGATATTTGATCGGAAATATCTTCAAGTTTCCAACAACAGACTTAGATCAATTTTTGGAACTTTCACTCATAAAAACTTCAATATTTTAAAAGCAAAATGCAAATTCAAACACAACTTCAAAAATTTAAATTTTCAATATAAAAAATATCAATAAAAAGAAACAAAGAAAATATTCGAGGCATAAATCTCTCTCTCTATATAGTTTATATTAAGTTACATACCATACGACTTCACAATTTTTTTACACTATCAAAATATCTAAATAATAATTACGGATAACTTTTTTTTAAAATATAAAATTTGTAATTTTATAAATAAGATAAATTATCTGCTATAACATATAAAAGTAACCTATATGAACAAATTTATTTTTCTCAGAAGTAAATAACTTATTAAACTTAAAGTTAATATTAAGTTAATACATATGCATGGAAAGAATTCTAAATTTTCTTGGATTTTGGGTTACCAAGCTAGCAAGCAAGAGACAACCTACCCTTAAAAATGTGTGTATAGTTATGGACATATTATATTATATCAAAAATAATAATAATAATAATCACTTTTTTCCACTTTCTTCCATTTCCAAAGTGTCTACAAATTGCTAGAATAATGTTTCTTTTTGGGAGTTTACTATTATGTATTTTTTTCAAGAAAAATATACTCTTTTTTTTTACATGAAGACAATCTTGTCCCCTCATAACAATGACCTCAAAAGTATGTTAAGCTTTATCAAGACCCTCTTATTCATTTTTAGTGCCCACATATCACTAAAGAAACAAAACATATAGTAAAATTCAAAGTATATCAATTTAATCCCATGTCCCCAAAAAAACATTTGTGGTCCCTATACCATTTGCTACACCTTTTCTCTTTACATGTATTATGTGTATATATATAATGAACCAAGAATCCATTTTTGTATATCACTTGTTTTAATTCATATATCTTGAAAGTGGAATAAGAAGAAACAAAAAAAAGAAGTTAAGCTTTGATTCTTCTATTCTTCCCAACTTTGTGACAATTCCAATTTTGTCAAAGTTCTTTTTGTTCATTTCTCTCATAAATATAACAAACTCTAAAAAAATCTCTTTAACTTTTAGCCTCTTTTTTTTTCCTTTGAGATAATGAAGCAAGTTCTATTACTTTCTCTTTTGCTTTTATCTACTTTGGTCTATGAAGCACAAGCAAGGAATATTCCCATGTTAAAGGTGAGAATTATATTCAAAAGTATTAAAAACTTGAATTTTGTTGTCCTAATTAGGAAATTCAAAGTGCTAAAAGCTTAATAATGGTTATTTTTATCAGGAAAATGGAGATTTTGGAGAAGTCAATATTATTTGCAAAGATAACCATTGTTCATCATCAGGTACTAGAATAAAGAGAAGACTTTCTAAAGTAGCCAAAAAAAGTCATCATTGGTTACCAAATATCCATGAAGATTATTATGGTCCTAGAGGACATAGGCCTAGACACCATTAATAAGAACGATCAGTAGTATTCACACTTATCCTCTTGCATGACTCGAACTCTTAATATATGATATTCTTAACAAATTAATGAATTATTTTACCTTGTTAGTAATATTAATGAAATTTGCATCATCAAACTTGTCTTATTTTGGTTTGTTTATTCATAAAGTGGCTATTCTTGTAATGTTTGCAGGAAGAAATAGGAAACTTATGACAAAAACAACCTCTACTTCTAGTCCAATTACCACAACTACTTCAACAAAGGTTGGTTAATTTTCATGACCAAAAAAATAAAATTAAAAAAATTCAATAATAATAAAAAATTATATTATATTTTTTTTTCAAATTACTTATATAGTTTATTTTACATATATTTACAGAATATCAAGAATGAAGGAAATATTAAAGCTCATGACACCACCATTTTGAAAGGTCAATCAAGTAGTGAAAATTTCTCAATCAATTCATCACCGGAAACCGGTCACCGGAAAACATCCTCCGATCGCCACCCCGACGTGCTAGACTTGGCCGGAATGGATTATTCTCCGGCGAAGAGAAAACCTCCAATTCACAACTAAGAGAAAATATTGGAAAAATATTTGTAGTATAAAAGAAAAAAAAATTGTAGTTGAAAAAAATATTTGTAGCACTTAAACTAGAAAAGAACCCTTTAATTAGGATTAAAAAAATTACTATATAAGAGTAGTGGAGACATCATTAAGAAATGATGCCCTTGTTTTAGGGTTAGGAAAATTTTGTACATAAAATATTGTCATATATATATCAATTATTAATATTACTTACTTATATATACATATAATTATTAGTTGATGAATGAGTCATAATTACTTTCATGTATGGCTAGTTAAGTAGCCTTATAAAATATTGCCCGCAAAGTGCCAATTATAACAAAGTATTACTATATAGTATCTTTTAACAAATTATCTTAAGCTAAGTTTTAAAGGATTATTTTGACTTCTATGTTTCTTTGTATGAATTGGAGGTAATATGGTACTTTAGTTTGGTAATAATTTTATAAAACTAAGTTTATAGGTTAAAGAATTAAAAAAAGGTAAATGAAGATTTACTTTTTTGTTTAATATGATAAAACTTCCCACTCTATTCATAAAAAAAAAGAGATATATATATTTTTAATATTTAATGAAAGTATAGTTCTAGATCAAAGTATCAGGAATCAAAATAAAAAAATGACTATTTCGAAATTTAAAATATGCATTGACAGTGAGAGAGTTTGAATTTTTGTTATGAGGTTTAAAAAATAAGAAAATAAACGCACGAGCTGATTGAAGGGGTTTCAACATTTACTCTATACATACATAAAAAAAAAGTATTATATATTAATAGTGTATTCTTCGTCGAATAAGATTTAAATAAATCCTCTATACCCTAATCTGACTCCACCGCTGAGCATAATGAATCTGAACTGAAAAGGGATCAAGCATGTAGATCTCATATTTCTTGATATATGAAGATGCTTATTTAGATAGTTCATTATTTTATATTTTCATTGAGTATGTAAATGCCATAATTGTGAAAATTTTAACTAATTATATATAGTAGGTATTTATTAAGTATTTGCTTATGTGATAGTGTAGAAGACTTTTTTTTTAACACATACTACTTTATAATATTAGAATTGAAAGTGCAGAATGCTTACCATTTGATTGAGCAATTTTATCGTTTTTGTTTTTGTTTTTTTAGAAAAAATGGAAACTAATGATGGAAATATGTACAACAAGCATTTAGGTACACATTAAAAACTAGAGGGTTATAAAATGAATGAAGTAGGTTTATGGATCTTTGCATTATGTGATGATGTTTTTTTGGGCTCAATAGATTGGTTTTAGACTATGATCAAAAATGTATTTTTTCTCTCATTAAATGCAATAACGTGAGTAGAACGGTATGCCTGACAATGTAGGCCAATATGTTTTTTGTTAGGTCAAATAGTCTTTGGGCCCAAAATATTGGAAGATATATTTACAAATATGGTTCACAAAAATGCAAAATGTACATTTAATTTAGGGAAATAGGATAATATATTTTCGAACTATCGTAAATGGTATGCATATATTCTTCGTCATTTTTTTGGGACATTGGTGTTTCTGTCGTCCATAAATTAGAGCATATATGCTTTTCACTTTAACAAAAGCGCAGGGGCGCCAATGTCCCTGAAGTATGATGATAGAGGCATTAATGTCCCAAAAGTATGACGACAGGGACACCAATGTTTCTATAAAATATTTTAAGTGAAAAAATTTGAAATTTCCTCTATACCTACCACACCCTTTTAAGGGAAGTAAAATCATGCACAACCAATTAAATATACAAAGCTTATACTTATCATGCAAAGAATAATTAGGAAAGAAGTTTAATTTATTTTCTGATCAACAACTTATTTACTTATCCTAAAACGAAAATATAAAATCTATGTAATTCACTAATTCATTTCTTGTAGAAAAAGGTATACGACTCTATAAATAAAGATTCGTTCCTTCAAACCTAATCAATATTTACAAAGTAGTCCCAGGGGATTTGAGAGTTTTTGTTAGGGGGAGAATTTATGGGACACAAGCTATATGTTATAACTTGTGTGAACCTCCTTGTGTTTCGAGTGAATTAGTTAAAGCTATTTCTCTCTATATTTTGAACTCCCATGTTTTATACAGTACTAGATTGTCCATCTCCTTTATGGACGTAGATTGATTGACCGAACTACATTAAATCTTTGCGTCTTATGATATATTTCTCATTTGTCTTCTTACTCATGGTCTTCCGAGGTTTACTTAGTTAACTTCCGCTTGACACCTAATTATTTCGGTCCTAACAAGTGGTAACCTAACATATTTAGCTCAAATCAACTCATCTTTAAAATGTAGAGATTAAAATAGATTAAATTAAGGGTAATAGTAACTCATGCAAACTTATAAGACCGGTTACTTTTACCACACTTATTTAAAACGAAAAGAAACATATATAACACACATAATACGATTTATTTAATTTTGATGATTACACATTATAGCTCGATAACATATTTTTATCAAATCAACAAGCATAGTCGATTTTCTTATTAGCCACAAAGCATATATCAAACACATATATACTTTTTTCTTCTTTCGTATCACACTTTGGTCACTTAGGACTAAAAGTTGAAAAGAAGAAAAACACTTAAAAAAGACAATAATATTTTATGTATATATATATAGTAGATGTCGAACCCACTTCAATTACTTCGTGTGTCTATTTCGTTGAGCTTTCAAATCAATGCAATCTATTGAACCCTCTTATTGAAAATCCTGGCTCCGCCAGGGACCACATGACCCCGCGGCCCTCCGACAGGCTTCACAGTACAAGGCACCAGAACAATCATCGTGTGTTTTACAAGGTTTGTAACAAACTGGATCTACCTGAAAAAGGTTTGGTAGAACAGCATCTTGGGCCATCACATGAATTTTGGTGGAGTAGAATGAATTGTCATGAGCTGCAAAATTCAAAACTATATTTTGTAAAACTAATGTAATAAAATTTTAATTTTGTGATTTTTAGTTTTTTTTTTTACTATTTTATTACTTCTTTGTTTTGTTTTCGGTTGAGCCGATCAGAAACAACACTTTTTTACTTCAACAAGTTGAAATAACGTCTGTATACACTCTTTCCTCCTCAATCCTCACTTTATAGGATTTTAACTGAATATATTATTGCTCTTGAGATCCTACCTATAAAAATCATATCGAAATTATGATACTAGTGTTGTTAATGGTGGATAGGTTTGGGTTGGGTTCTGAGGTGACATGTCATATAAAATTCATAACGGAAGAAGGTATATTATTTAGTTGAAATAATAATAACTTGCCACTTTTGACTTTGTTTTTGAAAAAAATACAACTATTATTATAGAATAATTCAATAAAAGTTTCACTTGTGAAACGTAAAACTTTCATATAATAACTATTTTTTAATTACAAGGTCTAAAAATAGATATTTGTGAATTTTACATGTATATTTGTACTACTTGAGTAACATAAAATAAAAAAGTATATAGAAGGATAAAAGTATTCTTTTTTTGCATAATAAATTAAACAATTTTGACCATTTTCACTTTAAAACATATGAGTAAGATGACATGACTTACCAACAATAGCCACAAGGAAAATGGTGAAAAGGCTAGCAAATTTTTGTGCCATTGTAATAATAGTAGCTAGTTAATTATAATTTTAATTTTGAGAGATTGACAATATACAAATAATGTAGATAGATGGTTTTTCATTCCTCTACCAACACTAGTATTTATAGGCCTAATGAGGAGATCTAGTTTGGCCATGTTTGAGTATCAAAATGTCTCACAACCACACAAGTTTTTTATTTAGTTGTTGTTGATAAGTTTACAAAATACCATTGTATATTTTTGATGATTAAGTTGTTTGAATTTGAATATAATGATTTAATTTCTGAAATTTTATCTCTAGACGCTTGATAATTATGAGAAAATTCGTTGCTCTTGTCGTATTTACTAAATATGCATAATTTATCTTTACTTAAAAAGTAATTATTGGTATTCTACGTGCACCCTTACGTGAATTAATACGCCCATTCCGACGCGAATTAATTTTCGGTATAGCTTTTGCCATATTTTATTATCTCGTAAATATGAGTCAGAGATATATGGATATATCCATTTCATGTCAAAACAGATTCTTTATTTGTACATCGGCTCTTCTGGCAAGTCTGATTAGCCCTGTCTTTGTTTATGTCTCGTGTTGGGATGCCGATAAGAAGATGAAGCCTGATCGGGCAAAAAATGAAAGCGATCGAAGGAAAGGGTAGAACATGTTCTATTTTTCCGAATCTTTCAAGATGAAAATAGAGGGATTGACTTAACTTCCTCTATGCGGTTGCGTGTAGCTTTGCTTGAGTAAGGAGTAGGCCATTCCAGATAGGCTGCTTTTGTTGTTACTGAAGCTTTCGCCCCAATAAAAAAAGATTCTTGTAGTAGACCCTGTCCCTAGTAAAAAATAAAGTGAAATAACCTGTAAGATAAGGAGGATCCTAGGATAGATAACCCTTTCACCATTAAGAAGAGCAGGAATGCTGGGTAAAGCCATAAGCATTGAGCTTACGCGGACCAAACTGCGAAAAAGAGCAATCTTTTCCCTTTTTGTTCATACATTCCTTTTTTGCTTTTGACCCTTTTTGTTAGGCATTGAACTCCACCCCACCGAATGCTGTATAAACAACATAAACTAAATACCATTAGCACACAATAATTTGCATGTGTTGTAAAAATTATTTATCTGATGAATCATACTTTAGAAGTTAGCATCAATATTAATTGACAGTAGCGTGATCGATAGTGATGTGATGACCAATACAACCATGGTTGATAAATATGGCTAATAATGATAATTGTGTCATAACATTAATTTAGGTAGATTTGTGCCATTATTTTTTTAATAATTTGGTGGTTTTGTAAAATTATTTTTAATTCAGCCTCTTATTAGAGGTTTATAGCACCTAGATTAAACTGGTAAATAAAGTTTAAATATGCTATCGATCTTTCAGAAAAAATTTATCTATTTATCAACTTTGAGCAAAAGGGAAATTGACATGACTCAAATATAGATAAATCTTTTTTCAAAAAATTTAATGTCATATTTGAATTTTTTTACCAATTTAATTTTAGTGCTATGAACTACTAATAAGAAGCTTCGCAAAAAAAAATAAAATTGCAAAACCATTATTTCAATATGCCATGGTCCTATGTGAATAATTACTCATTTAATGTGATACCTACCATCTCCTTTCATTTTTATCTGTTATATTTAGATTTGATACATAAATAAAAATAATGATTATCATGATTATATTCTCACACTCGTTAATATATTTATGTATTTTACATAATTAATGCTAAAAACAAAAATATATTTACTACATCACTTGTTGAATAATAATGAAATTGAATTTTAGAATGTGATCCAAATATAAATTTCATCCACCGGACGCCTTTGACTTTATTTTTTATACATATACAAATCATAGATGAACGGATCATATTGTATGGGCTGATTTTACGGCACTTATATAAAACGAAAAGAAACATATAACACACACAATGCGATGATTTTTATTTAATTTGATGATTACATATCACACCCTAATGACATAATTTTTATCAAATCAACAAGCATAGTCGATTTCTTATTAGCCACAAAACATATAACTCAGACATAGATACTTTTTTCTTCTTTTTCGAATTAGACTTTATTCACTTGGGATTAAAAAGTCGAAAAAGAAGAACAACGAAATTGTAATCACACGCCTATGGCCATGGCGCGCCCAACATAGGGCCCACATGTCCCCGCGAACCTCCAACAGGCCTGACAGAACGTACCACCAGAACAATCGTCTTGTGTTGAGCAAGGTTTGTGACAAACTGGATCATATTGCTGAAAAAGTTTCGTCAGAGTTGCATCTTGTGCCATCACATCTTGAGCTGCAAAATTAAACTTTAGTTAGTTATGTTTTTCTTTACTGTCGTTAATCTGTTTTATTACTTTTTTGTTTTGTTTCACTTTAGTCGAGGAACTTTCAGAAATTAACTTCTTTTTTTTTTACTTTATTAAAGTAGGGATTTGTTCTGTATACACTCTCCCGTCCTCAATCATCAATTTATAGGATTTTGACCGAATATATTATTATTATTATTTCAAATTCGCTCTTGAGATCCAAGTTTTTCATATACCAATGGAAATCACATTGATAAAGTGATAGTAGTGTTGTTAATGGTGGACACGTCGGGGTTGGGCCTTGAGGTGACATGTCATATACTCTCTGTTCTTATTATAGAAATGACACACCTATTAAGATAACAATAATTAGCATAGTAAAATTACAATTTTACCCTTATTAATTATGGTTTCAAAAAGAATGAATTATAACTTGAAATTTTTTGAGAAGTTTAAATGAGGGTATAGTTGAATTTTTTTTTTATCCTTTCTTGATTTGTCAAAATGGACAAGTAAATAGAAACAACTAAAAAAAGAAAATATGAACAAGTAAATAGGAACAGAGGGAGTAATGTTCATCTTATTAACATGAATTTGAACGTCTATTTTGGATAACAATAATAGAAGAAGGTATATTATTTAGTAGAAATAATACTAACTCGCCGGTTTTGACCTTGTTTATGAAAAATAACTATAACTATAGAATTTCAAATTCCACAAAGTTTCGCTTTCGAAATTTAAAACTTCATATGATAACTATTTTTCAATTACAAGGTTTAAAAATAGCTATTTGTGAATTTTACAAGCATATTTTGTACTACTTGACCAACACTAGAAAAAAAAATGTATAATGAAGGATTAAACTTTTCTTTTTTGCATAATTAATGAACAAATTTGATCATTTTTCATCCTAAAACATTTGACTTAGTAGATGACATGACTTACCAGCAATAACCACAAGGAGAATGGTGAAAAGGATAGTAAATTTTTGTGCCATGGTAATAATAATAATAATACAAATAATGTAGATGGTTTTTCATTTCTCCACCAACAATAGTATTTATAGACCTTATTAGGAGCCTTGTTTGGTCATTTTTGAGAATCCAAATGTTTCAAAACCACATAAATTTTTTTTTATTTTTTGTTGTTGATAATTTTACAAAATACTATTATACACGTCATTGACGATTGCGATATTAAATTTGAAATTGATTATTAAAATTTTATCTCTAGACGCTTAATTATTATGAGAAAATTATCTTTGCTTTCTCAGTATCTAAATATACATAATTATCTTTATTTAAAAAAATAATAATTGAAATTCAAATAACATAAAAACTAAATATCATTAGCATACATAAAATAATTTGCATTTGTTATAAAAATTATTTACCTGATGAACTATGTGTTGAAATTTAGTATCACAGTTGTGAATGATAGTGATGTGATGGCCAATGACGATCGCGGTTGGTGAAGATGATTAGTATCATTTTTCCCACGTGGCGTCTTATTAGAGGTTAACCTCATCAAAATTATATTAAATTCATGTTTACTCAACTTTTTCTATAACGATAATGACATAATTAAGCTCAAATATCAATAAAATATATAAAATTAATTTTTTCAAAATTCGTCAAAACATATTTAAACGTTCACTCATAAATTTATTCAACTCAATATAATTATTCAAGCTAGTAAACTTTGTATTTTTATTGTTTAAATAAAACACAACCAGCACGTTTTATTCATGTATATGGGGGACCAAAATAGATAGAGATATGCATTTATAGGTGTACTAGCGCCAAACTAATATGCCATGGTCCCTATAAATGTTTCGTTCATTTTTATCAGTTATATTAATTAAAAAAAATAATTGACATCATGATTATGTTATCATATACTAATTAATAGTGGGAAATTTTCACATATAACTATTAAAAAAATAGTCTAATTACTCTCTATAGCTATAGTTTGATAATTACAATTTGTAGCTACATGTTATAAGGAGAGAGAGGAGAGAGGCAAGAGAGAGGGCAAAAAGTGGGAGAGAGGTGAATTGTATATGTATATTTGTTAGATAATTGTATATTATACATATGTATTTGTATATATGGCAAGCGAGATTGAGAGAGAGAGAGAGGAGAGAGGCGAGCGAGAGAGGGCAGAGAGTGGGAGAGTGATGAATTATATATATATTGGTTAGATAATTGTATATTATACATATGCATTTGTACAAATGGCAAGCGAGATTGGAAGAGAAAGGAGAGAGGCAAGCGAGATTGGGAGAGGGAGGAGAGAAGCGAGCTAGAGAGGGCATAGAGTGGTAGAGGTGAATTGTATATGTATATTGATTAGATAACTGTATATTATACATATGTATTTGTATATTATGGCGAATTATACATTTGTTGCTAATTAAACAAACTCGAAGTCAGCCCATATAATTGATGTATAATGTTAGTCGTGAGTGGTAATTATAGCAAACTATAACTATGATGAGTAATAATTAAGTAGTATAAATTTACTTAACCGCGTAATTTTTTCATTAATATATTTACGTAATTAATGCTAAAGGTAAAATATATTTACTAGTTCACATGATGAACAATAATGCCATCGAATTTTAGAATATTGTCCAACAATATCATTTATCAATCAATAGCTAGATATGCCTTATCGATGTAAAATTGGTTTGTCTTTATTCATTATTAACGTGGACAAAAATCAAAGATATTATTAATTTTAATTGTAAGAAGGGAAATGATTCAAATATGTCATCGAACTTTCAGAAAAGACTTATTTATGTCATCAATTAAAAGTTTAACTCATTTATGTCATTACCGTTAAAGAAAGGGCTCATTCATGTCATTATTTTTTAACAATTGTTTTGCAAAACCATTTTTGAAATGTGACCAATTATAATTCGGCAATGTCATTAATTTTTTTAATAAATATTATATTCAACCTCTCATACCTCGTCACTAGGGTATCTGCACATTTTCTCTTCACATACATATTCATACAACCTACTCCATAACGGAGGTTACTCCCACCTTATCTCGAATATTCTCATTTCTAATCTGATCACTTCTAGTATATATGCGAATTTAAAATATATTTGTATATGAGGTCTTAAGTCATATATTTATGTACTATAAATTATCTCGTTAAGGACAAAATTAGAAATTTAAAGTCAAATTATTTTGAATACGCTATTTTGTACAAATTTAAATTTTTGAATTTTGTAGCTCATGACAATTCATTTACTCCATGAAAATTCATGTGATGGCTCAAGAATGCTATACTACCAATGGCAACAAAACTTTTTGAGGCAAATAGAGATCCAATTTGTAAAAAAACTTGTAAAACAAATCATGATTACTTCTTGTCACTTGTAAGATAAATAAATATATTTCGTGGCTGAAATCAAATATGCTTGTTAAGCAACTCTTTATTTAGTTGAAAAATTTAAAGCTCTACAAAACATCACTCTTTAATCTTATTTCAGAATTTTCACAAGTGAAAATCGACACATATCTATAGCCAACGATGAATAGTATAAACAAGTGTTATTGTGTCTCATTAAAAAAGTCATATTTTTCAATATACAAAATTAGATTCAAATTACATTCTAAAAAAAAGTCTATTTATTTTTCCTTCACACACTACAACAAAAATATAATTTAGCAGCAACAAATATATACATTCATAAATAGTACTAAAGTTTTTACTGACATTAGTTGTTGTCATTGAATCCAATGTCATTATAGACTTTAGAAACGCTTATAAAAAATGTTAACTATCGTTAAAAATATATATCTAATAATAACTAAGACAAAAAATTATTTTCGACAAAGCGACTATTCTTTAAAAAATCTCAGATTGATATAAGGAAAAGAGATGAAAAAATGAAAGTTCCTATAATAATGAAATGATAAAGTCATTCTTTAAATAGACTCTCAAACAAATTCAAAAAGTTATCTAAAATGAGATAAGTTTGGACTAAAATAAGCTAAATAGTGAGTCATATTAACGTGTTCAATTCTTACTAGTTCTTTTTTTATTATTATTTGCTTAATTAATTATAAGAGTTATCACATATTGCATGCCTCTATTTCAAAATGATATAATTTTTAACCCAAATTTAGTTATTAACCTAAATTACTCATCTAGCCAAAACCTAAGAAATAATTTCAAAAGGAGATATATAAAATAAAGGGAAAATTGTATATAATAGCAAACTAATAACCTAAATTAAATGGAATAGCTAGGGTTTGATTTAATTGTGCTCCATAACAAACATTAGCTAAAATTTGCCAGCGTCTCTCTCCCAAAAATCTCGCTCGCCACTCTCCATTCTCGCTCGCCTCTCTCGCTTTATACACAGAAGTGTATAATTCTGTTTCTATTTTGTAT